TCTCTGCCTTAATCAGTCTGGCAACAAATAAATCAGCAACCAATGATTATCTCTGCCTTAATCAGTCTGGCAACAAATAACCTGGCAACTAATGATTATCTCTGCCTTAATCAGTCTGGCAACAAATAACCTGGCAACTAAAGATTATCTCTGCCTTAATCAGTCTGGCAACAAATAACCTGGCAACCAATGATTATCTCTGCCTAAATCAGTCTGGCAACAAATAAATTAGCAGCCAATGACTATCTATGCCTTAATCAGTCTGGCAACAAATAACCTGGCAATCAATGGTTATCTGTGCCTTTAGCAGACTGGCAACAAAAAACCTGGCAACCAATAACTGTCTCTCCATAACTTAGTCTGGCAACAAATAACCTGGCAATCAATGATTATCTCTGCCTTAAGCAGACTAGCAGCAAATAATCTGGCAACCAATAACTATCTCTGGTGGCAAATAACCTGGCAATCTATTTATCTCTGCCTTAAACAGACTGGCAGCAAATATTTCACCTTACTTATAACTGTCTGTCTCCCTTCCTAAACCAGTCTGGCAGCAAATTCTTCTCCCCACTTTAACCAGAGTCTGCCAGCATCCTCATTCCTCACCAATTGTTTCATAAGAAAAACTGTAAAGATAATGTTTGATAAATTTATTATAGATATATAATTATATTTCTGTAGGCTACAATTCATATGGTTAAGGCCATTATTTACCATTCATAACAACTGAACAACATGACCAACCTACAAAAATCTTTACATCCAAAGTTGTAACCATGAATAAAACATATGTAACCATGAATATAACAAAGGTAACCATGAATTCCACATATGTAACCATGAGTCTTACATATGTAACCACAAATTTAACATATGTAGCCATGAATATTACACAGGTAACCATGTGTTTTACATATGTAACCATAAATATTACAAAGATAATCATGAATATTACATATGTAACCATGAATCGTAAATTTGTAACCATGGCTATTACACAGGTAACCATGAGTATTACATATGTAATATTCATGGTTACATATGTAATATTCATGGTTACATATGTAATATTCATGGTTACATATGTAATATTCATGGCTGCATAAGTATTATGATTATTACATGAGTCTTACATATGTAACCATGAATAAAACATATGTAACCATGAATATAACAAAGGTAACCATGAATTCCACATATGTAACCATGAGTCTTACATATGTAACCACAAATTTAACATATGTAGCCATGAATATTACACAGGTAACCATGTGTTTTACATATGTAACCATAAATATTACAAAGATAATCATGAATATTACATATGTAACCATGAATCGTACATTTGTAACCATGGCTATTACACAGGTAACCATGAGTATTACATATGTAATATTCATGGTTACATATGTAATATTCATGGTTACATATGTAATATTCATGGTTACATATGTTAAATTCATGGTTACATATGTAATATTCATGGTTACATATGTAATATTCATGGTTACATATGTAATATTCATGGTTACAAATGTAATAGTCATGGTTCATGGTTACAAATGTAATAGTCATGGTTACATATGTAATAGTCATGGTTACATATGTAATATTCATGGTTACATATGTAATATTCATGGTTACATACGTAATATTCATGGTTACATATGTAATAGTCCTGGCTACATATGTAATAGTCATGGTAACATATGTAATAGTCATGGTTACATATGTAATATTCATGGTTACATATGTAATATTCATGGTTACATATGTAA